CAGACTAATTTTTATAGAGAACATGCATTTATTGTTCACAGTTCATGAAGATAGGAAGGCTCAAATCAAGGCATGGACAGATGCAGTGACTGGTGAAAGATTACTCTGACCTGCAAAGATGGTACCTTGTGTCTGTGTCCTCATGTGGCTGGGGAGATGAATAACCTCAATCAGACCTCTTTTCTAAGGATGCCTGCATAATTAGTGAAAGTAGAGCCCTCATAACTTAACAGGATCTCAAAGAACTCAAACACTAACACTTATAGATTAACACTGATACTACATTTCAAAGCATGAATTTTAAAGAGGGAGGTCAATATACTGAGACTATAGAAGTTGTATAAAGAAGAATTAATAAAAACTTCCAAGTTGAAACATATTTTATAGGATTTCATGTGTTCCTTCAGCTTTTATTAAACACCTGTCCTCTATGAAGCACTATAGTAGGGAAAAAGATGACTTGTTAATCAAATTCCTTGGTCATTTCATTTGCTTCTCAATTAGCATGAAGGAGAATTTTATGGACCAGCTTCCCTGTGAGTGTGCCAGTGTTTCAGATTGTAGTCATTCTGATGGTTGTGTGATGCTTTCTCATTATTGCTTTAATTTGGATTTCCCCAATAGCATTTGACAGAGAAATCTTTTTATATATTCATTTGCAGTCTGTATCTCTTTTCAGTGAGGTGTCTTTTCATATTTTATAAGTAAATGGTAAGTTTTCTTATTGCTTGCTTTTAAGAATTCTTTGTATGTCTTGTATAACATACAAAGACCCATTTCTTTTGTCCATATCTATGGCTCATCTCATAATTCTCTAATTTTGTTCTTCACAGAACAGAAATCTTAAATTTTAAAGAAATTCAGTTAATTTTTTGAACTTGTACATTTACTATGGAAATCAGTATGGTGTCTCATCAGAAAACTAGAAATTGAACTAAATCAAGATCCATCTATACCATTTTGGGACATAGACCCAAAGGATCTTCCATCCTACCATAGAATACTTGCTTAACAGTGATCATTCCTGCTCTATTCATAATAGTTAGAAACTGGAAACAACCTGTGTATCCCTCTAGAGAAAAATGGACAATGAAAATATGGTACAATCACACAATGAAGTTGTTATTACTAGTTGTTAAAAAAAAAGACATCATGAAATTTTCAGAAAAAGAAATAGATGGAAGGAGAAAAAAGTCACCATGAGTAAGGTAACCCAAACCCAGAAAAATAAATATGGTATATATTCCCTTATATGTTCCATAGCACCTTAATAGGGATTTTTATTTTGTAGAGATCATGTACAGAAGCTTGTATGTGCTAGACAAGTGTTCGACCACTGAACTGTGTCAAAAAACCTTAGATATGTACACTGATCTTGATCTAGGGTCTTAGTTAGTGTTAGTACTGCTGTGATGAAACATTATGACCAAAGCAACATGTGGTGGGAAGGTCTTATTTCTCTCACAGTTGCATGTAACAGTTCATTATCAAAAGCAGTGAGGCCAGGAACCTGGAGGCAGAAATTGATGCAGAGGTGATGAAGGGGTGCTGCTCATTAACTTGCTCTCCATGACTTGCCCAGCCTGTTTTCTTACAGAACCCCAGGGCCAACAGTCCAGGGACGCCACCACCCATAATGGGCTACATCTTCCACCATTGATCACTAATTAAGACTTTCAAGCCGAGTATTATGGATGTATTTTTCTCAACTGAGACTCCTTCCTCTATGGTGTCTCTCTCTTTTGTAAAGTTAACATAAAACTAGCCAACACATGTAGTTGGAGGCTGCTTGTTTGTTCCCAGCTGCCCAGACCCCAAATAATTGCACAGAAGTTGCATTAATTAAATCACCACTTGGCCTATTAGCTTGTGTATATTTCTTATTGTCTAGCTCTTATATCTTAAATTAACCCATTTCTATTAATCTGTGTTTTGTCACATGATTGTGGCCTATTGGTAGGGTGCCATCTGGCATCTGTCTTCTGCCGGAGCTCCTTGGCTTCTCCCTGACTCTGCCTACTTTCTGCCTCTATCTCTGCTTAGAATTCCCACCCTTCTCTCTTTTGCCCTGTGATAGGCCTAAGCAGCTTCTTTATTCATCAACCAATAAAAGCAACACATATACAGAAGGACTTCCCACATCAAGCACACCTTTGTATTGGTATATGATGTGGGTGCTTGTGTGTGTATGTGTGTGTGTGTGTGTGTGTGTGTGTATGTACACACACACATATTTGCTTGTATGTACAGGGTTGCCTAATAAAATATATTTTTTTACTGTGGATTATGGATAAAATAATATGAATGACAAAAAACTTGGCAGAGCTGTCATCAGGACTCAATTTAATAGAGTATTTATTGACAAGGTATTTAGCATGTATAAAGTTTTCTCTGAGTATAATTTACTAAAACCATGGTCTTACACCAACTTTCTTATAAAAATTGCAGTGCAAGTCATTTCTCTAATCTAAGCATTGTTTATTTCAGTATGCTACAAGACTAGAGCAGACAATACTTTCTTCTGAAAAACTTGCTACCTACCTTTGATTTCTGATCATTAATCTTTTCCTCTTATTTTCTTGCAACCAACAATATGGCCTCCATTCAGAATCTTGTTCAAATACCTCTTTCACAACACCATGAAGAATACTTTTCTACACAACATCTAGTTTCTATGTTATTTAATTAAATTATTTTACCTTTCTAAATTAGCAATGTTTATTGGGTAAACTTAAAAACATACAGAGATAAGAGATGCATAAAGAACAGAGGAAAGAAACATCATTGCCACTGACTCATATACAGTAGCTGATGTTTGGGGGTAGCTATAAATCCCCTCTAAGAGGTCACAGGAAAACTTCTTTTTGAGATATTGAAAAAATTACTTCCCCAAGTCTTTTCCAGTAAAAGTTTAAACAAAATATAAACAATATGAACACAAATTTTGGCAATTAAAATAGTGATCATTGTCACTTCCGAGTTTGAAGCACAAGCGCATGGAAATTTAACTAATAGATTTCTTATTATTGAAGGTTGTTCATACGAATCAGTGCTGTGTATGCATCTCTGCAACATTCTGCTAGTCCTGCTGATATTCAAAAGGCCAGTTTTCAGAGTATCAAAATAATGTTTTTGAATAACAACATGACATACTCAAGAAGGAAACGTGACTAGGAGGAAGGATTGAGAAACAATTCTTGAAAACAAAACATGTGTGAAATGTTAGATGATGTCCTTGAAATAAAACCCAGAATGGATCTGTAACCCTGGTTCAAGTTCCTATGGTCTGTTTTCCTCCATCCTTGCCAACCATCTTTCTAAATGAATTAATAATAAAGCTTACAAGGATAACAAGTACTTTGTTGAAATGTGGCTATCTTTCTATTCCTCAACTTGAACATTATGGACAGTGAATCTAAGGTTAAAGCTATTGAATTTCCTTGCCTGGTTTACATCCTCATCCCTGTATCTTCTCTCCACATTTGGGGTCCAGACTCAGAGCTCTCATTAACAGCAAACACAGCTTTGCCGGAGGCTGAGAACCAAAAGGTTGCAGTAATGGAGTACAGATTTGCTCTGCTGGGAATAGGTAAAGAAGAAGAAAGCTAGTTTTTGTTACAGAAGGCAAAAAGGGCTGTCTGGAAGTTGGGAAAAAAATAAAACTTTTCCAGCTATCTGTGTTGTGGGAACTTAGGTATGATAAAGGTGGTGAGTTTACAGTGTTTTATTCAATTCCCTTTTAGAAATAGTGTCATTTCCAAACAATATCACGAGTGGTCCCTGTGGTCTTTTCTGAAATGTCTTTTCTTATCAAGGGTCATGAAAATTTGTGATGGACAGCAAACTACTCGATGATTGAGAAGTTAAGATTCCATGTTTGGCTGTCTCTAGAGAAAAAAAGTTAGTTCAAACTTTATCAGTTATGACTCTAGAGAATGGAACAAGACCACAGGAAGAAAAAGAGTAATTTCATATTATTCTAAGAAAGTTCTATAAAACATGTAGCAGAGCTAATTTTTAGTTGTTTTTCTTCCAAAACTAACAGGTGCTGGCAACAGAAGCAGAAAAATAGATCATGCTGGCTAACCACAAAGGTCAGGGTCCTGCAGTGGTGTTCCATGGGTCTTGCAAGAGACACTGCCTTTCCCTTGGGCCAGTCAATTGCTCCTAAAGTTCATTCTTCACAGCTTCTTCTCAGGGAAAGGTGGGAGCCAGGAACTACGAAGTCCTTTCTAAGGCTTTGAACACTGGCAGTTGCTGGCAGTAACTCTACTTTTATGAGGTGTGTTATTGCTTTAATCTCTACAATCCCATTCTGAGGTCAGTGCCACTATTTGCCCTAAGCTGATGAGAAAAGAGGGCAGGGTTGCAGTATGATTTCCTGAGCTAGAGCCACTAGGCCCTTCTTGGATTTAGCGTTCAGTTGAGGTCTGGCTTCACTGCCAGTTATGCTGGTTTATTAGGGAATGAAGACATTCTTGAAATGTTTTCTTGAAAGGCCAATATTAAAATGACGCACTACGTGTGTGGAGGTGAAGAGGGAGCCTAGAGAAAAATAAAAGGTAGAAAAGTGGGGGAAAGCTAACTCTATGAGAGTAACACCAAATGTAAATTGTGGTGCTGAGGCAGAGGGTTGATGATGTGTTATATGTGCCAGAGGGAACCAAAAGCAATGGCTTGTTTCTTAGGAGGACAAGCAAGGCATGATGAATAAATGCAATAGTGCTCAGAGCAGAAAAGGAAATTAAAATCTCAAGTGTTGGGTCTGCTCATTCAAAAGAAAGTTTCAGAACTTTTTACCTTAAAAAGCAATGTCTCAAACTTTTAGACACCAATAATGATTCTTTACAAATCATGGAAACAAATACACAACATGAGTTTTCTGTGTTTATTGTTCACATGTCACACAGTGGACCATCCCAAACACTTGTTCTTTTATCTACTGAGTTAGACAAGGCCATTTAGTCATTTGCTCATTATGAATTGTTTCTCTTTTAAAGTCAAAGTGCACTGAAACAAACCTGACATCCGTGTAGAATGTGACAGTCCAGAAAGGAATCCATGAATGCTGCAAGGTACAGTGATACTCACTGGAGAAGACGCACTCGTTTGGTAAGTCAAGTTGGTCCAGAAAGGAGAGGATACCAAGGCCTATGTGAGCTTCAGTTTGGGAAACATGTGAACTCATGGATATAAACAGGCGTTCAGTGGGACTTTGAAGTTTATCAGGGTGAAGGGAGAGGAGGCGGAGCTGAAACCCAGGATGGAAGGAGGTAGGATCCAAGGAGTAGGGTGTTTGAATGAAATAGCTTGCTGAGGCTCATAATCTGATATAAATCAGAAGGATTAGGAGATGTGGCCTTGGTGGAGAAAGTATGTCACTGGGGGTGGGCTTGGAGGTTTCAAATGCACATGCTAGACCCAGTTTCCCCCTTCCCCATGTCAAGTTCTCAAGCCCTTCTGCAGCACCATGACTGCCATGCCAGCTGCCATGCTCCCTGTTTTAACGACAATGGACTTATCTTCTGAAACTGTAAGCAAGCCCCCAGTTAAATGCATTCTCTTATAATAATTGCCCTGGTCATGATGTCTCTTCACAGCAATAGAACAGTGATTAAGGCAAGGGGGAAAGATCCCAGTAAAGAGGAAGGACCACCAGATTCCCATTCATAGCATGAAATCAGTGAGGGACCACCAGATCCCTAACAGATGGTAAGGTTGGTAAAAGCAAAGACAGCAGAGGAGAGGAACCGCAGTGGACCAGCAGGACCTGAGCAAGCAGTTAGGAGGGATCCTTAACTGATTAAAGTGCTAATAAGAGATTGTTGAGTGCTCAGCACTGACCAGGACGTCTACACCATCCACTCTGAGACACAGGGAAGGGAGGGAAAAAGATGAGAATCAGGACATGGAAGACTGGGTTGTAAAATGCTATGTTCTGAATCTGGCATGGCAGTTATGCTCAGAAAAAAACAAAACAAAACAAAAACCATGGTTTTAGTTACTTATCTAAAGGCTGTATGAGTCCAGGATAATTTTGGCACCGGACCTGTAACATTTTAACTCTTCACCTTTATCACTGAAGTCTTATATTTAATATTAAAGTGACAAAATGGTATATTTTAAAGAAGCAGGGAAAACGGGTAAAAGCAAAAGATACTCTAATTCAGAATAGAAGAGTTTACGTGTAGGGACCCCCCCCCCCGACCCAAGATGCTGATTTAAGGGAGTCCAGATGAAAAGTGATGCCGGAAGGACCTATTGTATTTGTCTGTAATCTTCTCAGATCTAAGATTAGTCATTTTCATCACTAAGGAATAACACAGACAGATGTGAAGTAGCTTATAAACACACAGGATTTAAGGAACACAGAAGTAGGGATTCACAGATTATTAGAGTTGGTTCTTTATTTGATTATTAATTTAGAGGGCCGAAGACCATAGAGACGATGAAATGGTATGTAATGGACCATATTTATATTTCAGTTTTTGACCAATAAAGTCAGATCTATGGTTACTATGTAACTTAGCCAATTGGCAAACTCAGAAACAGTATTTGGAGAAACCTAATCTCAAGTTGTAAATATATAGAAAAAAGATAAAACAAAATCTTGGTTTTTACAATACAGTTTTCCTAAATTCTACAAAGATCTCATAAATGTTAGTAAATGCAGACCAAAATTGAGAAAACTATGTTGTAAGTAAGGAATCAGACTCTGGTTTATTTATTTATTTATTTACTTTTAAGGGTTATAGTCAAATAAGTTAAAAGTAAACAAACTATAATCATTCTTTATAAGCTTTTACATAACAAAAATCTTTTCTGTAAAAATATTTTTCTTTATTTAACTTATTAATCAAGTATATATGTTTTATATCTTTTAAAATTAAAGGTGTGGTTTTCTTACAGGATTTATATTTTAAATGAAAATTTATTAAATATTATTTGAAACACAGAAAACATGTATGTTATATCCCAGATACTTAATAATTATGTGTATAGGGAGAACATGGGGATCATTTTAAATATAATGGAAAGGAGTATATGCAGTTTTAAACATTTAAAACATCCCCGGGTGGTGATTAAAGGGGGACATTTTTAATCACAGCACTCAGGAGGCAGAGGCAGAGGAATCCCTGTGAATTCTAGACCAGCCTTGTCTATAGAGTGAGTTCCAGGACAGCTATGGCCACACATGGTATCACTTTAAAGTGTTTATTTATACACACCCATCCATGTGCATCCATACCCACGCACACATCTTAAAATCAAGTTCATACCAACTTTGTAATCTTACTAGTGACCATATGTCTTATGATTCATAAAAACAGTTTACATACATGTAGCACAATATATTCATGAACACATAAGACAAATCCCTGTAATACCAAAAAGAATAATGTAAAACTTTGATATCTGGGCAGATTGTGAGCCTTTGTTTCATAGGGTAAGGGAGGTGTGCATGAAGAATGTTTGGTCTATGTCACCCTTTTCCCCTCTGGAAAAATATGTTATTGTTTGTAGCTTGGCTGAAAACCTCATTGCAAGACAACAGGAGAAGCAAGCGGGGCTGAAAAAATAAAGAGATTTGATTGAAGGCATCCACAGGCAAGAGAAGCACTTTAGAAGTCTTATAACGCTGGGTACTCAGCAGAGGAAGCAAGGGTAGCAGATCCAACAGCAAACCCCTGTTTTTCTGTTTAGAATCATATCTCTACATCTATAATAAGGGATCTGATACTCTGAGTTGGGTTTTAAAAAGAACAATGGCTGCAAAACATGTTGAAACTGTGTGTTATACCCTCATTAATAGCAACTTTTAAAATGTGGAGGATATGCTCAAACATCCAGAAATACTAAAGGAAACATTACAAAGGAACAATAATTGGCTCTCCCAACAGTTACTATGTCGTAGGCTTTTGTTGCTGTTGCATTGTCTGTGTTTGATTTTGAGCCTTCTGTCTCCTCCATTGTCTCACTCCATAACTACCTAAGCTTATTCCCCAAGAATGGTCTCAGAAGCTTGGTCCACTGAACAGTTGCACCAAAAGGGAACAGTGAAGCTAAATTCACAGCCTTAGAAAGAGAAAGGGCTAGGCTGGGGTTAGCATCACTCACCTGAGAACACACATAAGGGCCCTCCCGGAATTCATAACATTTTAGTGCAATTTAAAGTATCGAAATAATTCCAAAAATTCCTGAGGACCAAATACCAAATCCTTAAATAAAGCCAGTCTGTTGCTTGTTTGCTTTACGGGCCTACATTATTGTGCAACGTGAACAGTTGTTTCTAATTAGCTTGTGATTCACAGCCAGAACAGCTCTCTGGACCGTGCCAGGAGGGTCTGCGAGAGCTGACAATATGTATGGGCATCGTTTGTTTTCAGTTTTTATTAACTTTTCCAACTTGGTTCAAGGTATGCACAGATATATGGTAAAAAGTGCATAAAGACCTACACTTCGTTTTTCCCTTGAGCTCTATAGTCCAGGATGATTTCATGGAGCACAGCTCATCCAGTTCAGTAACTATCCTTGAACTACTTACTGTGGAATTCATCAACATTTACCTTTTAGGACGGGTGTGCTTACAGTTCTGGGAATGTGCTCGAGACAAAGCAGTCCCTTTCGGGGGACCTGAAAGAAGAAGAGCATTCTCTGGTTTTCTATCAACATGCCGAACTCAGCCGTGACAATCCCTAACCAGAACCGCGAATATACGGTAATCCCTAGTCTAGTGCCTGATGTGGAGCAGCTGCCCAATGCATTTTAGTTTCTGCAAATGAAAAACAATGCAGAACAACACACAAAGGGGAAAACACCTTCTCTTCCATTGCTAAGTAGAACGTAGCAGTGGTGGCAGAGGGTAGTAAGTGTAATAAAGAAGGCTGTAGTAAAAGCCGTAAAAATCACCGTTCTGGACAGCATGAAAGATGAGCTGTTGTTGCATGGTTTTGGTCTTCTCTATTTCCCTCATGGCCATGAAGATCCATGAAGACCTAACTTGCAACTTCCCAAACCAAAATTAAGTGTAAGTTTCCCAGTCCTGTTTTCTACAGACAAAAGAAATGGACTTGACACCTTGGTTCCTCGGAGATGCTGCCTTATTTTGACTTGTGGAATTCCTTAAGGCCATGTCCAAGTGTCCTGAATGTCACACATTTTTGTCAAGTGCAGATTGAATTAGATGCTATGAGTTTGAATTCCAACAGTCTGAGTGCCAATTTTTTTTTTAAAATTCAGATTTAAGAGATGGCTGTTTTGTGCCTGGCTGATGTCAGCCTGGGGCATGACAGTGCTTTGTGCTGGGACGATCAAACGTGACTGAAGAGAGTAGAGTCCTGGGAAAGTCAGTCCGGGTGAAATCCCAGGATGTTCAAGGGGTTTCTAGGCAGAGTAACCTTGTCTGCACAGATTGGCTCAAAGCAGTCCGAATCCCACTCCGACACAGTGTAAAGACCGTGTTCCCCTGCAATTTAGTTTAAAAGTCACTTTTAAATGAAACCTCGTGTATCAAAGAAAACTCAGGAATAGAGGGGACTGGTACACTGTAATGTATTCCTAAAGGGTGAGCATAGAAAGAAATGGCCCATTTGTGTGGGTGGAAAACCAATTACAAATCCACTCAGAGTTCTTGGCGTTTTCCCCAGTTTGTAGCAAAAGTAACATGACCCAAGAACATAACAAAGATGGCGGTAATGGAGCCTGAGAGATGGCCCTTGCTACTCTTCCAGAGGACGTGAGTTAGGTTCCTCTATTGGGCAGATCACAGCCACCTGTGTCTCCAAGTCTAGATCTGCCACCCTCTTCTGGCCTGTGTGGCCTACACACATGTTCACTCACACACACACACACACACACACACACACACGTACATACACACATACCCCAACCCTGTGACATATCTCCTCCAACGAGGTGACACCTGATAATGCTTTCCAAACAATTCCACCAACTGGGGGGCCAAGCCTTCAAACATATGAGCCTATGGGGACAATTCTCATTCAAACCAATACACACCGACTCCAAAAGTATTGTAGTTTACCTCTTAGCATGCAAAAGTCTACTGTGTTTGTTACTTAACAGTCAGAGGTGCATATATGCATAGCAAGAAGTCATTTTAAGATCCGATTTTGGCATTAGGCTTGTGGTAAAATTCTTTAAAACTGTATGGAATATGGTTTTGAATTTTATTCAGTAGGAAAATTAAGTGTTTCTAGCTCAAAATAATAATGTTAATGCATATAAATTGTATTTATCAATATACCATCCATGACATAATTAATTTCTTCCTGTCATTTCTTAAGGGTATTATATTTAAACACATAACTGTTCTGTCTGCTCACCTTGCCCTTCCTTCAAAATAATTGCAAACTTTTTATTTTTTTTAAAGTATTAGTAATACAAGATAAACATTTGGCCTTGTATTAATGGAAGTACAGAGTCTGTGATCTTCAAATATACGGCTGCCTAGGTGTGTCCTAAAACACAGTGCTATTCGAGAGATATTTTTTGATGATTTGAGCACAGAACCATTTGACCTGAATTTTGAAAGCCACAGGCCTACTTTAAAAATGAAACAGTGATATAGACGGAATTACTGCAGCTCCAGAGGGTAAAGGAATTTTAGGAACATTTACCACTGGAAAGCCATTGGTTAAAATGGAAGAAGTGTCTGCAGGAGTCACAGTAGTAGTTAAAACTCACTTGTATTTTCTTCTAGCATAGTTGTTTGATAAAATCCCATAATGTGCTCTCTCTGTTCTTGCAGACGCAATCCCCAGACTCATACTTAACATTGCAACAGAATACCAGCTCCAGCCTTCCATCCTCTACCCTGCATGTCTGTGGACCCCACAGTCCTTCCCCTTCTAACCTTCCTCCCCACACTCATTGCTGTTTCCCAGCCCCTGACTCCAGTAAGCAACCCCTGCTAAGCCGCAGTATATATCTACCAGAATACCAGGCAGACACTCCACAGACCATCTCTTCCCTCCGTTCTCCCAGTCTTGTCCCTAGCACTGTAACAGAACACCAGCTGCAGCCTTCCTTCACTCCTGCCCACATCTCCTGTGGATCCCCAACACCATCCCCGCCCTCACCTCCCATCCCATACTTGTTTTGTCAAAGACCCCAAATCTAGCAGACACCCACTGCTAACCTCAGAGCAGCTCCTCCTGGGGCAACAAGAAGGCTGAAGGCAGACCCTTACCACTCCTTTTGCTCCTGAGATCCAATCTCCTATCTCATCCCAGTTCTGTAGTGGGAAATCGGCTGTGGCCCCCCTTTCATCTCTGACTCTGTCACTAATGGGTCTCAGTGAACTTTGCCTCCAACTTTCCTTCCCCAAACTCATCCCAGTATCCCAGCCTCCAACAGTATCCCTGTGAACACACCAACCTGAACACACCAACTAAGGCGACCAAGAAAACAGGCAACGCCCATTCTCCAAAAATCCAGAGATCAAACAGAAACCAAGGAACAATACACCCACCCAACAAAGGCAAGTTCATAAATGAGCATCTAGACATATAATCATCCCAAACCCAGATGCCAAAACGCTAGCATAAAAACATGATCAAAACAGCCAGAAAGTATGTCTCCATCAGAACCCAACAATCCTACCACAGCAGGCCCTAAATATTCCAAGAAAGATGAAGAACAACAAAAAACCTTAAAACCAACCAAATAAAGATGATAGAGGTCCTCAAAGAGGAAATGAATAAATTCCTTAAAGAAACCCAGAAAAACACAAACAATTGAAGGAAATGTATAAATTTCTTAAAGAAAGCCAAGAAACACACACAGTTAAAGAAAATGAATAAAACTGTTCAAGACCTTAGAATGGAAAAGGGAGCAATAAGGAAAATACAAAATCGGGGGCTGGGGAGACGCTTCAGTGGTTAAGAGCATTGCCTGCTCTTCCAGAGGACCTGGGTTCAATTCCCAGAACCCACATGGCAACTCTGTAATCTAGCTCCAAGTGATTTGACACCTCACAGAGACGCACATGCAGGCCAAACACCAATGCACATACAGTAAAAATAAACAAATCGTTTAAAAACACACACAAAATGAGGAAATTCTGGAAATGAAAACTTTAGAATATTAAGAAGAAGCTACAGAGGCAAGTTTAACCACAGAATACAAGGGATGGGAGAGAACCTCAGGTACTGAAGACATTTAAAAAGAAATAGATACACCAGTCTACGAAAATGTGAAATCTAGAAAGTTCCAGACACTGAACATCCAGGAATTCTGGAACACTATGAAAAGATCAAACCTAAGAATAATATGCATAAAGTAGGGAGGTGATTCCAAACTCTAAAGTTTAGAAAATATTTTCAATAAAATCATAGAATGCTGTGCAAAGGTTACAGCTAATACCTACCCACCTACTGGGGCGTGGCCTCATGGACTATTTACCTGGATGCAGAAGTGTATCCAGCCCCCTTGTTTCCTCTTTCTCTCTGCCTTTCCCCTTGGACCCTGGTTTTGCTGGTTCGGTTTGTTTGGCTCTCATTCTCATCCATCGTTCACGCAGAGAATTCTGATCTGTAAGTTTTATCTATTAATAAATACCTGTATATTTCTTAGTTCTGAGTTAATGTGGGATTCCTTTTGTTAAGCGTCCGATCTCTGCCCTCAATAGAAGAAAATTTTCCTAACCTAAACAAGGAGATACCTATAAATGTACAAGAAGCATATAGAACCCCTAACAGATTGGACCAGGAAAGAAAATCCCCATGCCCCATAGTAATCAAACACTAAAAATACAGAATAAAGAAAGAATATTACGAGTTGCAAAATAAAAGGGTCAAGTAACATATAAAGGCAAACCTATTAGAATTACGCGTGAATCCTCAATGGAGACTCTAAAAGTCCTTTTAAATATGCTACAGATGCCAGCCTAGATTACTATACCAGCAAACTTTACAATCACCATAGACAGAGAAAACAAGATATTTCATGATAAAGTCAAACTTAAACAGTACCTACAAATTCATCCTTACAGAAGAAGCTAGAAAGAAAACTCCAAATTAAAGAAGTTAACTATGAACCTTAAAACACAAGGAATAAATAAAGTCACACCAGCCAAATCACAAGAAGGGAAGCACACATACTCATATGAATGTACACACAGACACACACAGACACACAGACACACACACACACATCACCACAACCACCACCACTACCACCACCATCACGACCACTGCAACCACTACGACTACTACCACCAAGAGTGCAAAAATGGGAATTAACAATCATTAGTTATTGATATCTCTCAATACCATTGATCTCAATTTGCAAAGAAAAAGGCACAGACTAACAGAATGAGTGCTAAAAACAGGATTCTTTCCTATGTTGCCTCTAAGAAACAAACTCTGACATCGAGGATAGACAATACCTCAGGATAAAGGGTTTGAAGAAGATATTCTAAACAAATGGACCTAAAAAGCAAGTTGTTGTGTCTATTTTCATATCTAACAAAATAGACTTCAAACCAAAGCTAATAAAAAGCAGTAGGGAAGGACACTTGGTACTCATCAAAGGAAAAAGTCTATGAAGATGACATTTCAGTTCTTAACATCTATGCACCAAACACAATGGTACTCTTGTTTGTAAAAGAAACACTTCAAAAGCTTAAATTGTATATTCATTCTCACACAATGATAGTGGGAAAATTCAATACCCAACTCTCACCAATGGTCAGGTCATCCAGAAAAAAACTGAAGAGGGAAATGCTGGATCTAACAGACATTATATGACAAATGGACCTACCGAAATATTTATAAAATATTTCACCTAAAGCCAAAAGAATATACTTTCATCTCAGCACCACACAGAACTTTCTCTAACCAAATAAATATATAAAATGAAATGAAAAATATAAAAGATCTCCTTAGCTTGTGAGTCAGTAGGACTAATATAGGAAAAAATGGCCATCCTACCAAAAGCAATTTACAGTTTTTTAAAAATTTATTTTTACTTTGTGTTCATTGGTGTCTTGTCTACATGTGTCTCTGCATGAGGATGTCGTAAGCCCTGGCCCTTGAGTTACAGACAGTTGTGAACTGCCATGCGGGAACTGGGAATTGAGCACAGATCCTACAGAAGAGCAGCCAGTGCTCTCAACCACAGAGCCATCTCTCTAGACTGTTATCTACAGTTGCAATTCAATCCCATTAAAATTCCAAGACAATTCTTCACAGATCTTGAAAGAACAATTCTCAGCTTCATATGGAAAAACAAAAAGGAAAGCTAAAACAATCCTGCTGGAGGTCTCACCATTTCATATTTTAAATTGTATTACTAAGGTATAGGAATAAAAAACAACATGGACTGGCATAGAAAACAGACATGTTGTTCAATGGAATTGAATTGAAAACGCAGATATAAATCCAATCACTTATGGGCATGTTTCTTTTTTTAAAAGAATCCAGAAATATACACTAGAATAAAAACAGCATCTTCAAGAAATAGTGCCGGCCACACTGGATATCTGCAAGTAGAAGAGGGCAAATAGGTAAATGTATATCAACCTGGACAAAAGTAAAGTCCAAGTGGACCGAAGACCTCAACAAAAAATTAGATACACTGAACTCTATAGAAGAGAAAGGGGGGAGTCACAGAAGATAAATTTCTGAACAGAGTAAGAATAGTGCAGAAACTAAGACCAACAATTAATAAACAACCTCATGAAAATGAAAATCTTCTGTAAGGCAAAATACATTGTCAACAGGACAAAGCTGCAGCCTAAATAACGGAAAAAGATTTTTATCAACTCCACATCCAGTAGAGGACTAATATCCAAAATATATAAAGAAAAAAGCTTAAGAAACTAGATATCAACAAACCAATAATCCAATTAAAATGGGATGCAGATCCAAACAGAGAATTCTCAACAGGAAACTCAAATGACTGAGAAACGCTTAAAGAAATATTCAATATCCTCAGTCATCAAGGAAATTAAAATCAAAACTTTTTTTTTGAGATTCCATTTTGCACCTCCCAGAATGTCTAAGATCAATAACATAAGTGTCAGCTCATATGGATTAGGAGGAGGTGGGGTTAGGGGAATTTTGATCTATTGCTGGTTAGAGTACAAAACTTGTCCAGCTACTATGGAATTCAGTACTGTGGTTTCTCTGAATGTTGGGCTTTGATCTACCTTAACCAGTTGAGCTATTGCCCAAAAGGCTCCAATGGAATTCCCCAAACAACCCAAATTTTTGCTAAGGCTGCTCTCTGCAAACTGACAGTGAGGCTTCATTACT